CAGTAGAGCTTGAAGCTTTAGCTTCCATACCATCATCCTCTCTTTTCAAAAGGCCACATTTTTTGTAACCGAGGGAAAGGTGTGGCAGCACAGCAACATGTGTGGGAGGGGCACCTCTTTGTTACTATTTGCTCCATACAGGAGGACTTTATGGACTTTAATCTGCAGGAATGGTTTGACAGAACCCTTGATCTTGGTGACTAACTCATTCTAAATCATAACTCAGCATGAGAATCATGTGAACATTACTGTATCATGTCATGAGCCAAAAACAACCTCAGACAAATGACAACCCACGATCCGCTCCAAACTAAAAATTAAAACAGGAATAAAATGCAGAAGCTGTCAGAAAAAACGGTGCCCTTTACTATTTACACAGAAATTCAGAGGGTAAGCAGCTGATGCATTCCTGAAATAAAAGCACCTCGTTAGCTGATCGGCAGCAAGTGTAAACCCTGAAAAAGCAGAAGCTGGGGCAGTTTGCTGACCTGAAAGTTTCATGCAAGTGGGCATATAGAGAACGCAACCAGTTCTTATAGCAGAAGAGCGACCGTTTCTGCATTTTTGGTTTGGTACGGTTTAAAAAGGTTACTTCCAAAACATTTGGATACCACAAGAAAGAGATTCCCCAGGTATTGAATCACTAGTAACAGTTGTGGATGTTCCCAAAAGTGGATGAACTGGAGAGGCACCAGCAACTCCCGACCCCGTTAGGGAGAAGGGTAATCAGAAAATGGATGGATGGATGGACTAAAAATGTAAAAAAAGCAAAACATCCCACTTGTCACTCCTAGATGTTAAAGTTCAAGGCAGTGAAAGAAGGAAAAGGGATGAAGAAGTCTGGTTTGATTGATCGATACAAAACGGGTTTGGATTGCAAAACTGAATCTGAACACACCATGAAATTTTAAGACGTTTGATCAGAGAGACTTTCACTCCGTCTACGTCACAAAATCCAAACAAAATACATTGGTGTTTGTAACTGTAGTCACAAAATGTGAAAAAGTAAAGCTATTCATATCATGACATGAAATATGAGGCCATGTGTCGAACAGCTGAGCCTTCACTGAAACCAGACCAAAACCAGCAAACATAAAACAGATTGAAAAAGAAACGTTTTTCACTTATCAGTCAAAATTCAGATCTAAAGCTCCCAGAAAACCAAAACTATGAGCATAAGAGTCTCAAAAGACAATATATTTAATATAATGCATGTTTATATACGCTAAGAATGAGTGAATAATGAAATGATTACAGTGAAAAACTGTTTTATATGCCAACAGCTAACAAATATTTTAGTAATTGAGTATTCTATAAAATATTCTGATTAATTGGATAAAAACATTCATCAGATTTTTCTTTTAGACATTTAAGCCTTTTTATACCATATTAGAAATGCATTAGATCCAAATAAACAAATAAATGTCATAAAAACTTCAGTGACTGAAATGCAGTACGATGAACCACTTGTGGCTAAAGATCCATTTGCAGCTAAAGAAAATCTTTTATATCAACATGTGAAAAGCTCAGGCTTTTCTGCTTGATTTAACGTCAATACATTCGTTTTGCTCTCCAATTAGGGAAGGCATAACAATTTTTTACTGAACCAGAACCACTTGAGGAGTTCTAGGTGAAAAATATTTACAAAGACGGGTTTTTTTCATCTTAAATTCAAAACTTACCTTTTTTTTTCAACAGTTTTGGCCTAATTACTACTCAGAGTGAGTTGTTCTTTCAGTAAATTGCCTGTTTTAGAGTTTTATTCTCCACTTTAATAAATCTGTTGACAATTCTTACGCATGTCATAGTAACACATTTTGCTTGTTGATAAATTATCCAGCAGTTATTGTGATAAACAATTATAATGTTTTGAGACCAATGCCAAGTGATGTAATAGTAATGGCATAATGCAACTGCACCATCTCAAAGATCAATACATTTTAATTTCTAATTAATATTTAAGACTGTAACTGGGAAAATGTTTAAATATTTAAAACAAATAAACAAAACAGAAACAAGAAACAAAATGGACACTGAGGTCTGTAGACAAAATTATCCTTAAAAATGTTGAGACAAATGAAGACTGTTGTCATCCAGTTTTTGTAGAAAGAGAAAGACAAGAAAAGCAATCATGCAATTGGAAATTATTGATTTCTTTTTAACTGATCATGCAGTTAATTGATTTATTGCTTACTGTGACAGGTTTAACGATCATTTCAATAATCGATTAATCACTATTTTTACGGCCTTACGTTTATTACTCCAGAGAACGTTGTTCAATAAAACCTTAAATCAGGTAACTTCAGTATCGACACGTAGCTACCCGACTCAGACAGCTGTCTATGTCAGGGATGTCCAAAGTGTGGCTCAGGGGCCATTTGAGGCCATTTGGATCATTTTGTTTGGTCACTCGCCTCCACACACAAGCACAAAACAGATGAAAATAAATGTGTTTTTATTGACCCAGTTTTATTTATCAGCTGATACCGATGTTGGTGCTAATACATTTTTCATCTATAGTTTATTTAGTATATTACTCAAGAAATAAAAAATATAAATGCCTCAAGAAATGCATTTTTACACTTTTAATTATGTAAAAATATTAAGCCTTTGAATTGCCTCCACGTGACAGATTTGGCCCTAATTCCCAAAAGTTTGGACACGCCTGACCAGAAATATGTGGGTCATACACATGAAGGACAGCTTACTGGGACAGAGGAGCTATGTAGGTTACTCTGACAAAAAAGAGGCTGCACAGACCCTCATGAACGGTTAACCCCATCATTTTCTTAATTCAGGATGTTCGGTGTTGTTGTAGGTTTGTTTTCAGAGCCGCCACAGCCCATCTGGTCTGTTATCTGCTGCAGGAACAATGGCTCAGGGGAAGTTATTATGATGATGGATCATTAAAAAACAAACAACTTCAGCAGCATCCTGTCAGGTCTTTAAGATGACCCTGCCGGGCCGTAATGTTCTCTACATCCACTCGTCTCCCATTAACCTCCACGATACGCTAATGGAAAGTGGAAGCTGTCCAGTGAGGACAACAGGACGCTCCCTCAAACTCTCAATTTATTGTAGGAAATGTAGCAATGCTACGAAAATTACTAGCTGCAGTATCAGTGGTCTGAAGATTAAATAGCATGGGCTGCATTTTGCCTCATTAAACCAATTTTTAAAGGTGATCCATTGTGCTTCCTAGAACGAAGCAGTACAAATCATGTTCTTTACATTTTTTTACACATAATTATTCTTAGAAAATGAGATTTTACTCTGGTCAGTTCTGTTTTAGGGCCTCTTGCCACTTTAAATCCAGATAAGCTGCTGCTTGCCACACGCGAAACTCAACAAGAAAATGACTGGAAACAGATGAACAATTATACAACCATTCATCTTTGAGAAGCATAATTGGAGCCTCCTGCACAGCCAACAAAAATGCAGAAAGTGGTTTCTAAATTTTAAGTCAACCACAAAACTCTCGTCTTTTCCAGCAGCTATTGTACAGCGCATACAGAGGTAAAACCAGCTGACCAAATGTGTTGAAGCTCTGCTTGTGTCAGAGGCTTCTTCATATTCGTTGCAAGCTTGACTGCTACTGGAGATCACAGCATCACCATCCACGACTCTTAAAGATACATGAATGAGTTACATTAAATTTATCTTTGAGATAAAAGTATTTTAAGTTAATTGAATTTGACTAGGCCTTTTAACACATAAATATGCTTTAATATGGCACATTTTTCCACACATTTGCTGTATACTCTATGGCAAACTGAAGATGTTACTTTCTATGGGTTTTCATTGACATTCTCTTGGAGTGAATGACAAAAATTTGTCTTGTCGGCAAATTCCAGCTGTGGCTTTCTTTATTTTCCACTTCATATTTAGGCACTAATTTGTGTTTTTCTGTCACCTACATCTCAAAACAAAGAAAAACAAACACATTGAGGTTTGTGCCATGTGTTGAAAGGCAAATACTTTCATCTGACACTTTACATGGGTCCTGACAACTGCTTTTAGATTTTCTTTGCAAATAATTTTCGGAAACGTCTTCAAATCAACAAAACAAACCGAGGCAAATCAGACGGGAAAAGCCCCGACCTGCTCATCTAATCTGGAAACCAGCACAGACTCGGTTGGAGGTTAAACCATCCAGTGAACACGTAATTCCTGTTTTCTGTTTATTTGATACAATGTGGTTATTCTGCTATGTTCAAATCTGTTCACAAATTATTTTGAATCTTTTCCTGGTTGTTTTGAATAAACATTGTATTTAACATTTTTAATCATTTATAAAACAATTTGAGTTAATCATAATTAACTGGTTGAAATAATCAACAAATTTACTAGTTGATTAATTGTTAACTGGAGAACACTGACACAAAAAGGTCATTTGATTATATGTTCATTTGCATACTTAAATTTCTACCATTCCATAAAAGGGCTTGTGACAATTTTCTTTATCCGATTAATTGATTAGTCGTCATTATAATCGATTACTAAAATAACTGTTAGTTGTAGCCCTACTCTCAATTATTTTATATATCTTTTACTTTGGTTATTTTTAAATGTTCCTGAGCTATAGGAAGTTTGAAATATCATATAGTGATATAGAGATAAACAGCAGATACATGTTCAATGTTTGCATTATTCTAGAACAAAAACCTTTTCATTTTTCATATTTCAATGAAAACCATAGAAACAGGATGGTTTACAGCAGGAAGCAGCTGATTAACATCGGAAAACCTGAAATACTTTGGGAATCAATGCACTATTTGTGAAATTTTTAATGATCATTTGTTTATTTGCTTAGGTGAGGAAGCGAAAAATCCGCAGGATAAACCAATTTTTCATCAGATTAATCGACTATTGTCAGAATAAATTAGTAACAGATTAGTTGGTCTGGGCGACTAATGCAAGTCTGTTGTAAAAGTTTAAAACTCAGAACAACCAGCAGATACATCATGTTCAGTGTTTTCATGCACCGCCCTGTTTCCCACCTGATGACGGGTCCGAGCTGCAGCAGGTGCAGTAACAGAACCAGCGGCCGGTCCCGACCCACGTCCCTGTGGATGAAGGTCAGGGTCAGCTGGATGAGCACAGCGGGAACCAGCATGAAGGTGATGGTGAAGCTCATCCAGATCACATCGTTGGACTTGTGGTAACTTTTGCAGAGGATGCAGGCGGTGATGAACTCTGCGCAGTAGAGCATGGTTGTCCACACCACGCTGAGTGGGGGGTTCAACCGGCGGCGGGCGGACTCCACCATGACCCCGTACTCCTCCCGGGAGGAGCACCGCTCCATGTCCGTGATCTCGCTGCCCTGCTCCTCCATGGCCACCTCACACATGTCCGTATGAGTAGGTTTGCAGCAACAAATCACAGATAAATTGAACTCCGCTGCAAAAACATCACTTTTTGCGGGATATCCCTTTAATGCGCCGTCGCTCCCAACTTTCCACCAAGTCGATCATGGCCGGTGTCTCATTGTGTTCCACTCCACGGTTCGGCACACTCACAAACAGTCCATCCTCAGCAGGGTTTAATTTACCGTCGAAGAAAGCGGGGAAAACGCCTCTTCTCCCGGATCAGATCTCTCTCCGCATGGCCAGCGTCCAGCAGGTCAGGAAAGTTCAGCCCACGACGCGTACAGTGGACCTAAAGCCACGGAGACTTCCACGCCGGTGACAGCGACCCACAGACACACGGAGAGACCCCCAGCCCACAGGGTTGTGGGTGTTTCTCACGCCGCATTGTTGGTGCTCAGCTGCGTTGCGTGTTTTTACTGTTAATTCATCTGCTGCGTTAAGTCAACCGTAATGACGGCGGCAGAGCGGAAACACAACCTCCTTTCAAAATAAAACACAAATCAACCCAGAGTTATTGAAAGTATCCAACAGTACGTGTAATTAATCGAATAAAAACTAGTGAATTACCACGGAAATTAAATATCAGATGAAATTAAGCCGTTTACAACCTGACGAAGGGTGTTTGCCAAGTCCTATCGCAACGTTTATGAGGCAAATGCATTTATTTTTTAAAGTTTATTTGTCACGGACAGATACAAGAACATAGGTCAAAAACTCAGTTAATTCGCAACATCAGTTTCTATGAGGGAGGATCTTTAACAGTTGATTAAAGGTCAACTGTTAAACTCTGAACTCTTAATTTCTCTTTCCAGATTATATTTCTCTGACAGGTTGACCATTCTTCCATTGTCTACACCCGTCCAAACGCAAAAGCTTTGGATTTTATTTAAACGGAAAACTCCTCCCTCAGCGACATGTCCTCACTTTAACCCAAGTTGTTCTCCGGCGAACTGCTAAAGAGCGGACCCCTTGTGTTTTAAAGGTTTGGAGCATAATATAAAGTTCTACTAAACACTTTAGCTGAGCTGTAAATGTTTTTTTTTCTTACTGGGCCTTTTTTATTGGAGTAAATTTGTAATGACTGTAAAGCCTAACGCTGGTGAATGCATGTGGAGCCCGTATCCGGTTTGAATTGATGGGCTACCCGCTCGTTTTGAGTTTCATTTTAAACAGATGACGAGTAGGCTCTAATGAAATCTTGTCTGAAATCACGCCTGTTCCTGTGACTGTTGGAAAACTGTTTTGTGAACTGTGTGAAACGAGGCGTCCAGAGAGTAGAGCTACTTGAAAAATTCACATTAAACGCGATTTTTAATTAGTCTACCACCATCTAGTGGTCAAAATAAATCAGAACGTGTAAATGACAAGCCAGAGTTATGGAAATAAGTTTTTCCAGCTGGAAACGGATACATTTTTTAACCACTTGACACATTTTAACAATCTATTTGCTAGTGGAGATCAAATCTTTCAAACTGAATTATTTCACCACCATCAAACAAAGCATATTAACCTCCACTCCTTTCTGACTGCCAGGGTCTGTCCTGTTCCAATGAATAGTGTGAAGGACAGGCAAAGTGAGAGATCAGTTTCCCTTCCATTTTTAGTTCCTCGCAGCAGAGCGGGCCTGGTCTTGTTTTAGAGACCTACAGGCCTGAACAGGTGCAGATTTCAAATGATCCATCAAACGTTACACTCAAACAAAGACATCTATTCATTAATTTAAAAGAAATGAAATGAAGGGATCCTGTTTGTGGAGGTACAAATTCAAATTTAGTTTACAGGCACCTGATTTGTTCAAACATTTCCAATGCAAATCCTTTTCCAACAGCTTAAATAATAATTAAAATAAGTTTTAACGTTGATTAAAGTTGCTTAGAACAGGTTCAACTCAGCTATAACTGAATAAATAAACATCATACAGTTTAATCAGATCTTAGGAGAGATGATCCGACATTGTATGTTTTAGGAAGACTTGTCATTACGTTGCAAAAACACAACATTTTACCAAGTATACTTGAAATAAGACAAAACTAGCCAACAAGTAACCTTTAAGCAATACAAAGAAATATGTTTTAATTTAATAATTCCTTAATATTGAGTACTTTTTTATTAACTTAAAAGTTAATTAAGTTAGTTTTGTTTTCTTTCAAGTGTACTAAGATATCTGCACTAGAAATTAGACTAAAAATACTTAAGTTTTGGTGTTTTTGCAGCATACAGACTAAAGATACTTGGTACTATTTAGAAATGTTCTGGTTTCTAGTGCAAATATCAGTACACTTGAAATAATACAAAACTAAATCACATGCAACTTTTCAGCAGGATAGAGGAGTTTGTTCTATGTAATACATAGAATATTGATAAAAAATATCAATATAGTTCCTTTGGGAGATTATTTTATTATAATATAGAAAAAATGTCTTATAAAATACTACTTCTGCCATGGAAATAGAACAATATTAAGCAATAATTAACTTAAACAAGCTCCTATAACTTGTTGAAAAGCTACTTATAAGTTAGTTTTATCTTATTTTAAGGATACTAAGTTATTTTCACTAGAAACTAGACCAAAAATACTTCGGTTTTGGAGTTTTTGCAGTGCAGTAATGGATGTGTTTGCAGTGTGACTCAAGTTCAGCCTGCAGTCAGTGACCCAGCAGACAGGAAGTTCATTCTGCAGAAGCAGAGCAAGCTTCTTGCATATTTCCTGTTATCAATCTTTCAGATTGTTTTGAAATGCTTCACAGGAAATCTAAATAAAAGACACCAGAAGATTCAGCTTTTATGTCCTTAAAAGATCAATCTCAATTTAAAACCCGGAAAGAAACTTCAATATCTTATACATGAGATTCATAAATGCGCTGCTATTGATTCTTTACTGCACTCTGCTTCTTTGAATAGATGGTCCAGAATGGTGAGTTCTCTCTTACCCAGTAGCTTTTTAAGAACGTAGTTAGGGTTTAATTTTGTGTCTGGTGATTTGTCCTAAAGCGTTACATTCATTAGGCGTTATGAAAATGATGCTGCCAGTCTTGTACTTTACAGTTGGGATAATATTCAAGCTATGATGCAAATTGTGGCCAAACACTTCAATTTTACTTTAATCAGCTTCAAATTAATAAAAACTGCTGTGGCCATTAATGTCACATTTTTTTGTAAATCACAAGTGCAATCTTTATAGTTTTTTTTTTTTTTTTTTTTTTTTACTTTTAGGCAGTTAAAATCTACTCAAGTTAATTTGGAATCAAAACCTGGAATTAATTTTTGTATTTGGAATTTTTGGGATTACTTTGGTAGCTTTTATACACTCCCATTAAGAGATTAATAACACACCAGGACATGTTGTAGAGATGATTTTTGTTTGTTAAATGTGCGAAGCAATGGAGGGAGATTTTTTATTTTTAACCACACTGCAAACAATGCAAAGTTTTACCAAGTATTTTTGTGTCACGTTTTAGAGCAAATATCTTAGAACACTTGAAATAAGACAAATAACTTGTAACTAAGTTACAAGTAACTTTTCAGCAAGATATAGGAGTTTGTTGTAAGTACATAATTTCTTAAAAATGATGAAAAAGAAATAGTTCCCCGTGCAGATCATTTAATTTATAACAAAACATTTTCCCCATGTTTTAAATGAAAAATATCTGCCAGTGGAACTTGTATTTTTTCATCAATATTAAGGAATTAATAACAAGCCCCTGTATTTTGCTGAAAAGTTACTTGTAATTAAGTTTTGTCTTATTTCTATTATACTGCAATATTTGCACTAAAAGCTACACAGACTGATTTTGATATTTTGTTACTTATATGAATTATTGTCATTTTGGGCTTAGAATACCAAAATTTCCACATGACTTTATATTTTGATCCATCTGATGATGTAATTTTTAAATATTAAATGATTGATAATTTGATCAGTTACTCAGTACTTGAGTAGACTTTTTACCGAATTCTTTTTTACTCTTACTTTCGTACATATTTGCGTATTCTGCCCACCTCCAGCATTTTAAAGCCCTAAATCTGAAGCTGTTCCAGACTTCCGGTCTCACCATAGATACACTGTAAAACATTTGCGCCACATTTAGTTGAGTCTGCAATCTTCTTCTCTTTAAGTCAAATAAATTTAGAGAATTTTAGATAAAGATAAACTTAGTCAGTTGTGTTACTTTTTAGTAATTTTGTCAAACCTCCAAGTGTTGAGTAAACTAGTCTTTAGGTTAGCACTTCAAAAAACTGAAAGAAGAAAAGATGGTAGTGGGAACTATTTTCCAGAATGCTTAGCAGCATGTTGTGCATCACATTGATTTGACTCAACTTCATGAACTTTACCCCCCGAAAAAAAAATTATTGTTAATTAAGTTAAGGCTGCATGTGGACTTTCATTTTCAAGTTAAGCCACCTAAATGTTTTGCAGTGTATCTGATTATTCTCACTCAGGAGGTGCTGACTGTAACAAACACTGCGACATCAGCAGAATAACGCAGAAAGCAGGAGAAAATAGATGCTTGTGTTTTTGCTGCATGAGTGTGAATGTGTGTGTGCGGCTGACGCAGGGATGAGTTTACTCAGCACCGCCTGATTGGACGGGGATTTAAATGACATAATGTGATAAAGCATGGAGGGAGGCCGATGGTTCTGTCTCTGCAAGATGTAACTGGATATTGATTTTGAAGTCCAACTGAAGCATTGCCTCTTAAATCTTCTGGTGGCGTTCTTTAAATAAACATGTAATCATATTTAATTGTCAATATATGTGATACATTTGCTGCCCGAATTGGAAAAGATTTATTGTTCAAACCCAATGGCGTTCAAGGCACAACATTTTAATATGGCTCCATCTAGTGGTTGTTGTTAATAAATACAGCTTATTATTATTGTATTAATACTATTATGCAACACAGTCTCTTGAGTTAATCCGCAGTAAACGCAGTACTGAGTCATTTTTCCATCTCATATCTGGGACTGAATTACTTAGACATATTAAGCAACTAGATTTGATCACACACACACAAAAAATTGTACTGAAGTAAAAGTGAAAATAAAACAACCAATAGATTCTCCAGTAAAAATACTAAGGAACCTTCAACAGATCAAAATATAAAGTGAAGTAGAAATTTTGGTGTTTTAAGGATGAAAATGGCAATAATTTCTACAAGTAACAAAAAATAACAAAATCAGGCATAAGACAAATTTTCCAAATCAATAAAAAACTCATAAAAACTGAACAAAATATTAAGATGTGTGTATATATCCAGTGAATTTTTGGTTAAAACATGTTTGTGAATCCAGACAAGTAAGAGTAAAAGTACTTCTTATTAAAGTTACTTAAAAGGAAAAAGTACAACTTTGTAAAAAATACTCCTGAGTTTACTTTTTCCAAAAAATTAGTCAAGTAAATCTAAATATGATTAGTTACTCTGTTATAATTTCTATCATGATCTCATTCATAATAGAAGCATACATCAGATAAGCATGTAAAAAGTGCCATAAGTCATGTTTATTTGTATAGGACATTTCACATTTCCATCCCAACAATGCAAAAACTTTATTAAAAAAACTTAGTTTTTTTTTTAAATTGTTTTTTTAAATGAAGTAAATTTATTTTTGTAATTACAATTTGTGGATGCAGCTGGGGAAGGGAGAAAGAGGAATCAATAAACAGAAGGGGAGGTGAAACATAAACAAACAAAGAATATATAACCAAGAATATAAAAAGAGGTAAAAGAGACTTGAACTTAATATAAAAACAGAATTAAGAAACAAATCCAAAGCATAAACAATTAGAACAAGTGAACAGCAGGCAAAATCTAAAGGAAATGAGCAACAAATAAATGACACACAGAAATGAGTCCAAACAACAGACCATTATTGGACCATTTTTGTTTTCAGAAATGCTTTTATATTTTGTTCTCAAGGTGTCCTGACTTATTAGGAATGTTTTTCCATATGAACACCAAAAATGTCCTCATATTCATTGACTTCTGATTAACTCCAGCCATCTTTGTTGAAGCCAGAGAGTAATGGTAACAAGGAAAAGAAAAAACAACATATTTATACAGCACTGTAAAAAACATAAAGATGTGGTGTTTTCAGGCCTCAGATAATGCAAATAAAACAATTTAATATTCATTTAGAAACAACAATAATAATGTTTTAACTCAGGAAGAGTTCAGAAATGAATATTTGATGGAATATCCAGGAGGTTTTCAATGGGATTCAGTGCAGTGAGTTCTTAATTTTTTCCGGAGATGTATTTCTGCTTTTATTTTTAATAATTAGTTCTGGTCTTCCATTGATATCTGCAAATGTCTCTTAAGGAACTTTTAAAACTCTTTCTACTCATAAAACACAAAGCATGATTCCCTATAGCTCTCTGTATCACTGTCTGTTGAAATTTTATTTTTATTTTTTCAGTTATCTCCATTAGCAGTTGCCATGACAATGCCTACTCTTCCAGGATTCACATCACAAAAAAGACAAAACATTTATTACAAAAACAGTTGTACACACTAAATATAGCAATAATAACATAGCATATGGATTTATAAATGTAGAATTTTATCAGTTTTTATAATAAAACAATTAAGAAGAGCTCTTTAAAAGTTCTTTAAAGCAGTTTTTTTATTTTGCTGTTTTTGCAAAATAAAAGTTAATTAGATTGAAAATATTTAGTATCTGTAGTACTTTCTGGTATCCTAGGAAAGGAGATCATGGAGCGTCACACATCACACCACTCCATACATTTATTCCTGGACGGATTTATTTGGTAAAGTTAAAAAGGAAACCTGCGCCATCCAATGAGATTTTCGACTGAGACTGCTCGCTCTCTGATTGGCGGAGAAGTGAGAGCAGCGTTTCCCAGGATGCACCTCCCACATGAGGTGACTAACGGCTTACTGTGAGCCTGATTAGCTGAGCAGCAGGTGGGTGTAGGATGTTAGTCTGTCCATCTCCCAAACAAATGCATGGACATAGATCTGCTTCTGTGAGTATCTCCATGAATCTTTACATTTTCATATTCTAATATGTAATTTACTCACATAATCTGCTTTTTATTTTAGCGTCAGCAGCACTGAAGATCATTTCATTGCATTTCAGCACCTGCATGACATAGTTATTACTAAACAAAATCAAATAATGACACATTTTGTGATGAATATCGACTTGTAAGAAGTTAATATGGGCTTATTTGTAAATAATTTGTTTTATTAGTTATCACTGAGATTTCTGAGGAACAGCAAAAAAAGTTTTATAATTTCACTTGACTGTTTGGTTATTTTGTTTTAAGTATTTTAGTTTTATGCCTTAGAAAACCTCCATAACCAGAAAGCTTTTGCATTTCCAAAACTCTGACAAGAAAATTCAGCTGGAGGAAAACAACATCCAATTAACATTTTGGCAAAGATTCAAAATCCTTCAGACAGCAAAACTTTAAGAGATTATGGAAACTTTAAATCTGTTTTTAATGTGGGTGTGTAGGTTCTTTATATTAAAAATAGAAAATATTTTCTGGATAAATTATGACTGCATAGTCAGATATGTGTTGATATATTAGCTGTTCAAGAAACTGCGGTCTGAATCTCTGGTGCCTTTCCAAGTAACTAACTCTGTTTAAATTACAAATATGAGCAAACTTGGTCGATATTTTACTAATGTCAAAAACAACATGATTGTTTTTGTGTTTGTAGGTTTTTTTAGAATCAAAAGAATTTGTCTTATGTTTGCGCTGAAATATATGTAAAGCTGAGGCAGCAGTCACTTAAACCCAATGTTTTTGACCAATTCTGAGAAAGATGTGCAGTAAAAATCTGAAAAAATGTGGGGATTTCTTAATTTTGTGGTTATTTTGTGTTGGTAAAAACTAGAAGGATTTATCGATGTAATTTGGAGTCCAGAGGGCCACATAAAAAGCTTTGGGGGGCCAGATATGGCCGCTGGGCCTTTAGTTTGACACGTGCTCTATTTTATTTATTTTAAAGTTGGAAGCAGAAAATCATATCAGTAAATCAGTAAATAAAATAATAACTAAATCCTTTTTTAATTATTAGGAACTACTATAAAATGAAAGCTTGACTCCTAATTGGCATGATAGATGTAATGGTTGGCATCCATCTCTGAAACTTTCCTTCATTTGCATGTTTTAAGGAACAGTGGCATATTTACTGTATTCCCTTTTCGTTCATTCCTCAGAACTTCTTCTGCCTTCAAAAAGTATCTAATTCAGGAAAAATCTCAATAATTTAGCTACTTTCTAAGGTGTTCTTTTTAGAATTCATTATCTAAATTGACTGAAGGATTTCGGTTAGAAATTATTAGAAAAAAGGACTTCAGTTACAGTTTTGCTAAATAACACTTCATGCTAGCGTCAAAACATTTTTAACGGAAAATTTGTTTTTTGTCCATTATTTTCAAATATACGGGTCAGTTTGTGAACAACACTGTCAAAGTGGGCCATTCTAAACAGGCTTCAGCAGATTATGGTGCCTGAACAGATGTACTTGACAAACTTATATCTAGCAGGTTAGTCAGTGGCCTGAATACCTCAGACAGCCCTTCTGCTCAGTGTCTACTGCAGCATATGTGGGAAACTGCCAACCATCTGGGATCGTCTCTAAAGCCCAGAGTAGACAGGCATAAAGCGTCTCTGCGTCAGATCCGACCGTAAACCCGTTTACTCCAGCTGCTCCAGCCCCGTTTTACGACTAATGCTGAGGTTTACCGCCTGCCTGCTTGCAGGTACCAGTTCCAGAGAAGATGGTGGCCGCTGTGCTCACCTTGTTCTCCTCAAGTCAACATGTTCAACCTGATGAGCAACTGCTGCAGCTGGGTCGCCAAAATCCAGGAGCCAATCAGGTACGCACTGCCACTTTCTCAACCAGAAGGAAAATGCATTTGCTGATTTTTTCTGGTTTCACTTTTTTTTTTTGTCTTGCTTGTATGAAACAAAGACTGCCAGAGTAAACGGAAAATAGAGGGTTTAAATGTTACTTTCATTTAATAATAGAATAATGTTTGACGAGCTTCATCCAAACCATCATTCTCTTATCTTTGTTAACATCCTTCAGCCTACTTCAGAGTGTCAGACAGGTGCTAGTTAAGACATTTCTTGTTTCTGCAGGTTTGGCAGAAATCATCCAGGGTTGTTGACCGCCCAGAAACTAATTGCTGCATTCTTGCTTGTTGTGCAGGAGGCTCTACTTATGCTTCTCAGAAATGTACGGTTGTACAATTGCACATCTGTTTGCAGACATTTTCACGTGCAGGATGGCATGGACATACTGCACGTGAAAAAAGGAACTTATTTGGATTTAGAGGCCCTAAAAGAGCTCAAAATAGGACTGAAATCTAATTATCTAAGAACAATTTTGTGCAAAAAATGTAATGAACATGTTTTATAGAGCCTATAGACCGATCCTAACTTTTTCAAGGAAGCATATGTCACCTTTAAAAGAGAACTGATATAGTCTGTTTTTATTTCTCTGAAGAAAAGTGACTGTTCTCGTGGCTGGTCTTGACAAAGCAGGAAAAACCTCAGCAATCAGAGGGATGTTAAGAGGTACAGTCCTAAACACACCAGCATTAGATATGCTCAGCAGGAATGTAACACCTGACTCACCTTTTCTGCTGCTCCAGTCCCTCCTGGTGTCGAGACAGGACCGACCCACGGCTGCATTAAAACCGAGCTGAGAGTGGAGAACTACCTCGTCACGCTGCTAGACGTCGGAGGATCAGTGGAGTCCCGTGGAGCGTGGAGGGAGCTCTACGGAGAAGCCCATGGCGTCATCTTTGTGGTGGACTCCAGCGACAGGCAGAGGATGAAGGAGGCCAGGGACGTTCTCACAGACATGCTGAAGCAACCGAGGGTTGCAGGAAAACCCATATTAGTGTAATAACTTCCTGCTTTTAACCTGACTTCTAGTTCTGGTTGAACTTAAATTACATTGGATTAATCGCTACATGTGTTGTTGTGCTTTCAGGTTGGCAAACAAACAGGATAAGATGAATGCGCTGCTGGGAAGTGAACTGATTGAGATCCTTTCCTTAGAGAAGCTGGTCAACCAGAGCCGTTCTCTGTGCCATATTGTGAGTAAAGTTCAGAGGTCGCCTTGGAAACAAGGTCACAGAAAGACCGGATGTAGACACTCAACTAGGACGGATGGATAGATGGATGAGCAAATGGATGGATGGATGGATGTATCTATAAATGGATGGAAAGGCAAATCGACTGACCAGTGGATGGATGAACATATAGATGGATGCATTGATAAAAAAATTGATGGACGGATGGATAAAAGGCAGTTTTTCTTACTTTACTTTATTGTCCCGATTTAAAGTCAACTTTTATTCTAAAAGTTTTCCATGAGTTTAGGAATCCTGATGACAATGAAGTCAGACTGAAATATGAAGATTGAACCTTTTGTTTCTCTTCCCAGGAGCCTTGTTCAGCCTTAATGGACCTGCGGCGCTGGTCGGACAGAAAGACTCTGCGAGGCCTCCGCTGGTTGCTGCGAGCTGTTTGCCTGGATTACCCGGACCTTTGTGCCCGGGTGGCGCAGGACAGGAAGCGGCCTCTGGAGCCCCGGGAAAGAGAAAAGAAAGGCAGAGCCGAGAAAGTGCAAAGAATGTCCAAACTTCAACGGTACAGTCAGAACCAGAGAAAGACTGAATACAAGAGAGATTGATTCTTTTAACGAGACCTGATGGTTAATTTTCTCTTTTGTCTCACCTCAGAATGAGATCCAGCAAGTCGGATCTGCGTCAGGCTCACCAGTCCAGAGACAAAGAGAAAAGGAACAGTGGTGAAGGAAAGCTGCAGCCCATTAGGAACATGCTGCAGAAGGTCAGAAGAACATTGGTTTTTATTACAATTACTTTCAGTTCACATTTGGGAAGTTTTTTTTTTATTTTGTTTTGAGTTTTTTTTTTATCAATCAATCAATCAATCAATCAAATTTTATTTGTATAGCACATTTCAGCTACAAGGCATTTCAAAGTGCTTTACTTCTATTTGGGTCTAAGCTGCGTCTTCAAACAGTCGAAACAATTTAAAATAATAATACTAAAAAAAACAGCTAGAAGTTTTTTGAGAGTGAGTTAATGTCGCTTGTTGTCTAGAAACTTAGCGGTTTCAAAAATCTCCAGACAATTGAGTCATAACCAACGGGTGCGGAGCCGTTACCTAGCAACCCTGTGAGCACAGCCGCTGCGTGGCTAACGGCTAGCTAGCAACCCAGCTAGCTAGCAACCCAGCTAGCTAGCAACCCAGCTAGCTAGCAACCCAGCTAGCTAGCAACCCAGCTAGCTAGCAACCCAGCTAGCTAGCAACCCAGCTAGCTCGATAGGGGGGCTCGCTAGCAACCCAAGAGAGCTCCATCCTGTTTAGTCAGCTGGTTTTACTGCTGTATGCGCTGTACGGCGGCTGCTTGAAAATACAAGAATCTTGTTGTTGACTTACCACCCAGACACAGGAGGGTAGTACGGTTGTATAATTGCGCATCTGTTTGCCGCCATTTTGAAGAGCGAGTGTGAACTTTGAGTTTGGGGCCGTGGCCATCAGCAGAGTGAATAACTGTGTCAATATTCCGCTAATGTCGGGAAAACACATTTATATAAGGAACGCAATTATTACGCCTAAGTCATTAAAAACTTTCCGGGGCAACCATCCTCTAACTACTTCCTGTCGTCTTCTTCGTCTTTTCCGCCCGTAGTGACACCCTGTTGATCATGCGACTGGTGTGACGTGAAAAAAGTGTTTGCGTTGCAGTTTTGAACAATATACTAATTTTGATACAGCCCAAAATCCACCTCATCATGAGGTGGTAAGTTTTTATTGAAAAAACGAGAGTTTCTTTCAAAATGTTTATGTTTCCATTAAGCAAATGTATTTTCGTAATTGCAATATGCCCAATTATATGGTCAATTAAAACAGCTAGAGGCCTTAAGCGGCTCATTCTGAAAGATCAAAGTTGGCAGAACTGATCAGACTAAAATGACATTATCTAAGAATGATTTTCTGCCATAAAATGTAATGATCATGTTTGGTACCCTAACTTGTCCAAATAAGCATAATAAGTCACATTTTAAATCAGCTAAATTCTTAGTATGTCTTTTGAAAAGGGTCTTTTGTTGCTATCTAAAGTGAGAACAGAAATCTGAAGAATCTGGTAGACTAAACATGAGCAATGACCAAATAACGAGTCTTGTTTTCCAGGAAAACACACTGAAGAAAAGGCTGAGGTCAAAGAAGATGAAGAAAAAACCAGTGAAGGTTAAAGAAGGTGTTGAAAAAGCACCTGAAGATGAAGAGGAGGGTGAAGCAAATGAAGGAGAGCAAGAAAGTTCTGGAAGCAGAGACAAAGCCAGCAGTGCCCTGATCCCTCCGAAGAAAGGCAAACTGAAACGCAAGACAAAGGTGAAAGAAGAGATGCTGGACGCTCCAGAATCCCCAGAAAGTAACGAGACACCAACTAAAGGTTGTCCTTAGCTGCTTTATGTTGTTCGTTATGGTGTGTAGAAATTAAACCTCATATTTTTTATTTATTTTACATGTAGTTACAGGAGAAAGGAAGAGGAAGAAGAAGGTTGTCAAGGTAAAAAGAAAAAACAAGATCAACACAGAGGGAATGCCGGTGGCGTACTCTCAACCTGAGGACCTTTCTGCAACCTTTGGTGAGGCACAAACGCTTTTTCTTACCTCCACCTGTCAGATGAAATAACCCAGGACTCTGAAAATACAAACTTCTATGTAAACAGATGAACCTGTCTCCCGGTAGATCTGTACCGAAAAGCAATCCAGGCTCTGAAGGAACGTCAGGATCAGGCTCAGGCTCAGGGACAGTGAATCCGGTTGCTTCCGACTCTCCAAACAGACACAACCTACAGTCTACAGCAGTAACACTCAACACACCTCATCCTCTTGGAAATAACTGCTACTTTCACCAAACAAGGGAAGTTGTATTGACCTGCTGACCCCTGAGCATTTGAGGAGAAGTCTCAGTGTGCAGTGAAGGAAAAGCAATAAAAGAAAGTCGTGTTGTACAGTCTACAAAAAAGAGAAAACTTAGGCAGTATTGTGAGTACCTGGCCAAAAATTTGATTTATAGTTTATAAAATGTGATCATTTTTAAACTGTATTTTTTAATATTATTTGAGAATTATCCAACAATGAACTGATATCTTTCCAAAAACAGCTGTATACCTGGTTAGATAGTGAAATGTAATAAAAACATTGTCTCTAAAGTAGCTTGTCTTCTGTTATAGTTGGATGTCTTGGACTCAACATTATGGTTTTGATGTTTGGAATCAATATCCTATTGAAGCTATTTTCACATTTTAATCATTAAAGGTCTCCCAAACTGAGAGAAAATTAGTTTTTTCAAATGAGCTGTGCGCTGGAAGCACTGGATCATGTGATTGACCTTGGTGACTCATGTTTTCCATCACCTCAGATTCAGAGCGAGAGGAGAACGGAAAAAAACGGACCTGCTCCAGAATAAAATTCTTCAACCTTTCAGAGTCAGGTGAAATTTGGATACAAAGATGTCAAGAATAAAGCTCTGAAATCAGGTCACTGTGTTCTTTCCTGTTTTGATTTTTCACTTTCTTAAACAGTTTAGATCAAAGAAACTTTCCAGACTTATTACACGATAGATAAACATAGTCTGTGTTTATTCACTCTGACATTGATGGTATTCCTTGATTTCCAATGGTTAACCCTTTAACAAGAGGTTTGTTTTCTGTGTCTGGAAAAAAGTAGTTTTATAATCTGATAAAACAAAGATGAAGCTTTCTGGCCACGAAGATGTACGTTTGACATGTTGAGACAGGTTTGGGCGAAATGACTTAAACATAAAATCTTAATTTTATTTTTTATGTTTTGTTTTTCATATAAAATATGACAAAAAGTAAAATGTGAACTATTGCAGCACCAAATTAAACTCTAAATGTGTGAAATTAGAATTCAGAAGCAATAAAAAATAAATCAGTTTTTTAGTTATTTTAAAGTTTTTTTCAACCTAATTTTCTGTCTTAATAGATTTTTTTGTTTTTGCTTTCTTCTCTAAAAGAAAAACAAATTACAAATGAAAGAAAATACTTTCAAAATGACTTTTATTTTCCCTTCTGTGAGTTGTGTGATGACTACCAGGCTACAACATTTTTTTAAAAATTGTTATAGCCTAAATTGTGTGGTCAAAATTAGCAGAGTAAATATGCAATATTACCAGAAGAACGTAGACTGTCTGAGAAGATAGAGACATTTGCTTCAAAGTCAAAATTTTAAGTTACACAAATAAAACATTTCTTAATAATTTACAAGCTGTGGTCATATTTTTACAGAAACTTCTAACTGTCAAAGTTTGAAATAAATCCAGGAGCAGAATCTCATTTATACAAGAAAACTGTCTTGAGATGCAGTATTAAATTGAGAATGTTTCTCATTTTTCAAGACTGGTAGTAATAAGATTAATCTCTCAGTAAAACTAAAATATAGTCAGAAGAAAGTCATAGCAAGACTCTTTATGTCTTATTAACAAGTCCAACTGTGTCAGAGGAGCATATTCTGATAGAGTTTTTTATGGTGTGATGTTCTTGTTACAAGATACTGCTTATGAATTTATCAAGCTCTGGGGGAATGTTTCCATACATCCCCTTTGCACTTTTAGAGAAAATCTTTCATTTTACAAGCCCGCTTGTTAGCTCAACCAATTTAATTTAACTTCTCCCGCTGTGTCCTGTTCTTCCATTAAATAATTTTGTCCACAGGCCCCATAAAACCCGGATGTAGCTCTGGTGGTGAAACAAGCTAATCCTGTGCCGCGACCAGATAACGCATCATTGTTGCCTAGCAACACCAACTGCTGCCAAAAATCATTCCCTCTCAGCGGTTCAGTTTCACCAGTTTGTGGCCTAATAGCGGTTTTAAATTGCTCTCCGTTATGTATAACGAAATGAAAGCCCCCCCTCGGGGATGCGGCGTAAAGTGGCGGTGGCGCCGCGTCGCCATTTTTATTTTCTGGTTCATCCAGAAGCCCATCCCCCTGGCTGAGGGAAACCGTCCGACTTCCATTCACTCTGCTCTGGGAAGCGGCGCGGCTGCGCGAGCGGCGGTTGGAACATGGCCTCGCCAAGGACAATAACCATAGTGGCCCTTTCTTTTGCTCTGGGTTTATTTTTCGTGTTTATGGGAACTATCAAGCTCACCCCGAGACTAAGCAAAGATGCCTACAGTGAAATGGTGAGTAAGCGTTGACTCTTTAGCGCATCATCGGGCTAAATGAGGGCCATTGTTCTGGGCTTGCTGCAAACGGGCTCCAATATTAACATAAGGAGACGCTGACCTAAATAATGAAAGAACCGGAAAATTAGCTCTTTGTAGAGCAACGTGCCACATTAAAGCCTTGTTATCCCTGTGAAGAATTGGGTTATATTGCAGATAAATTTGGCTCTGCTGTAATCATTATTGTGAAGGTTATTTTATTGTAAAATAAACCTCATAATGTATAACGCATACAAGAAAATAACGAAATAGGCGCTGCAGAAGCACTTTAATGTAAAATATATATTTCTTCTTAAGCCGTTGTATTTACTTACATTTATGCCGAAATAATAACGATTTACTATGTGTATACATATAAATGTGTAGTTGCACAGCTTCCTTTTTGAAAGAAAGAAAGAAAAATGAGATCTGCAGAGCAATGGCGGCGCATTCGAGCAATTTCTGAGATGCACCTGCAGGTGCTGATGTTGAAACATCCTGCACGGATCAGGACTGACTGGAGGGCATCCCAATGATCCCCATCAAAAATAAAATACAGAATCATAAAGGCATACATTCATGTTTCACATTAATTAATGTTGGACGTATGGATATAGATAAATATATAAATAAATAATTGGATTAAAAATGAGAATGGGTGGAGTAAACTTAAAATTTCATCATAATATATGTGCAATTTATTGTTAAAAGTGCGGATAAAAGTCACTGCATACCTACCAAGGCCTCACAAAAACAAAAACAGCTCTAAAATAAACTTTATCATTTTTAGTAATGGTACTTTACTGCAACAATTGCATCCAGCAGTACAGTAGTACTGATAAACACTTAATAATTGCATTTATTTATATTTGGATGTGTAAATGCAAGCATTTATTGTATTGTGCAGAATTAGTAGTTGCAACAGTTCTGCAGAGTTGCAAACATAATAATTTAGGGTCACATACATTTTTTATGATTTTTTTTCACAATAATGATTGATGATCTGACATTAGACCATTCATAAATCATATATTGAAGAAGCACAGTTTATTATTATGTAATTGGATAATTTGATGTATTTAAATGTGGCTTTGTTGTAAGGATACACACATAATTATTTATTTGGGTATTTCATTATTATTACGGTTATTTATAGAATGCCTGGGTTCCAATGCATCCTGAAAATAAACTGTTTCTGTTTCATCTAAAAGACCCCAGTAGGGATTGGCAATCATTGTACTAGTTATTGATATGAAATGTTATTGTTAGTGAAATGGCCATGATAAAAATTGTGGTTGGTTTTAAAACTAAACCAATCACAATTTTGATGAGTTGTTTATAAAGTCTCACAACAAACTGCATTTTAAAATCCTCCTTTGTTGCTTTAATGAGAGCATAAGTATTTACAATGTCACATGAGTTAAATATAAAATAATGTATTTTATATTTAAAATATATTAACATTTTAAAAATCTGTTATTTATGTAAGTATATATTTGGTAGACCATTGTCATATTTTATTTTGTTTTTAATTTATTTTATGACATATTAAGTCAGGTATCACATAATTTGTTTATTTTCTTGTTGACGTTTGTGTTAGATTTGTTTTACCCTTAATACTGTAACAGGGGTTCTTTTAAATACAATAAAAAATTGGAAATAATTATAGATTTTTTCAATCATATAACATTTTTGAGAATTTTTAAAATATATTTGATAAATGGTTTAGCCCCAAAACTTATGGAATATTTCTAGATGTATGAAATGTATTGTTCTTAGTGTTGTGACACTATCTGTCACAACTACCATAGGAAAAAAGTGGCTCTTAACTGGCTCTTCTTTGTTATTTGGAAAGAGGTGCACCAATAAATTGGTGCTGATTTTCTTAATTTTGGGAGATCTTTGATTGGCCAATACTTAATTGTGAAGTCCATCTTATCCTCTGTTCTTGTCTACCTCAGCAAAAGTTTAAAAATCAGCCATTGTTCTCCTTTGCTCTGCTGTGAGAGGTTTGACTGACAGACCGGCCCACCAGGTCATGTCTGCACGTTTGTAGTGAACAACAGTCATCCCAGCAACTCAGCAGCATTCTTGCTATATTTTGTGACTATTCAGAAAAAAAAATGGTATCGACCAAAATCGAAATCGACAAGTTAGGCTTTTTAAAGATTGGTGATCAGATAGAAAACTGCAATTGTTGCACCCCCAATAGTAACTGTTTAAAAAGTACATTAACACTTGAATATGCTGAATATGGTGAAAACATTTGGAGAATTTTTAGCTTTTTCTTTGCATTTTTTTTTTCCAGAAAAGGGCATACAAGAGCTATGCCAAGGCGCTGCCAGGTCTGAAAAAGATCGGTATCAGCTCCGTTCTGCTTCGGAAGATTATTGGGTCCCTAGAAGTGGGCTGTGGAGTGGTGCTGACCCTGGTCCCAGGCCGGCCAAAGGATGTGGCCAACTTCTTACTTCTGCTCGTCATGCTGGCTGTGCTGTTCTTCCACCAGCTAGTAGGGGACCCCCTGAAGCGATACGCTCATGCTCTAGTCTTTGGTATTCTGCTTACCTGCCGGCTGCTCATCGCCCGGCAGAGCGATGATCGGCCAGAGCGGGAGGACACCCGGGAGGAATTGCAAATCAACGACCAGGAAAGGAACAAGGTCAAGCAGTCTTAAGGTCTTCGTCTGTAGAGGAAGAAATGGATTGCAGTAATTGAAAATTAAAGGGAATCATTCACTTCTAGTAATAACCCTCCACATACACATATCCTCTGTCGTCCAGCTGGCTGACCAATTAAGTTCACCAATTCCTCCGCACTTCCACTGTGAAAATAAGAACTCATGTTCCTTTTCTCCTCTGCATAATTGTGGACAATCATGCCTGATTGATCTCAACTTATTGTCACCACAGTCCTGTTTTCTATTTATTTGAGTGCTGGAGCTGTAATAAATGTTTGTGTTTTTACTTGAGTACATATTTTAACTGTTGATTTAAGAATGCCGTTTCTCCATCAGTCTTTGGATATAGTTTTTTTCTAATTTGTTTTTATACCGTAAGTAGGTAGGAGAGACCTGTTACAAATCAATTTGAAGCATGCTTAATTTAGTCAGGAGTGCATAAGCCAAAAAAGAACTGTTGATAAAATTTTGTACGACTTACATGTCAGCTTTTCAAAGCTGTGTCAACACAAAGACGAATTACACAAAATAATGCAAATGCTCATTTACTGTTTATTTCAGTTGATATTTCTGGGTGTTCACATGATAGCCTGTTTTAAAACAAAATGATCTGAATATTCTCTGTCTTCTGCCAGGTTTAGGGCAACTCAGATTGCTTGAGGTGTTTGCTGCTAACTGATACAGCAGCAACTTAACCAAAACAATTATAATTTTGCCTGTAAGAACTTGTATTTTATTCCTTGTAATTCACTGTTACAGTACAAAACTGGGTGATTTCTTTTTCCATCTTTGAGCATTTTAGGTGCAGTTACAAATCCTGTCAATATTTCTGTAAATGGATAACTTTAAATAAAGAATTGGAGGTGAGAGTGACTTTTTTTCTTTTCATTTATGCCATTTCATTCAAAGTTATGTCAGTTTTGCAGCAGAAACTAACAGGCACTGTTAGCATGACTATATCATATCAGAGCTTTGAATGATCCATCTGAAGCATTACTTTTTTTCCTGGATTTTAAATGTATACAACAACTTAGAGGAATTGTGAAAACAATTATTATGTGAAGAAGCATAATTTTGTGTACCATTTTTTAAGTAGATTATATTGAACAGGTCGTTTTTGTAATTGATGGTTTGTTTTCTATCTTCTTACCTGATCAAATTAATTTTGAATAAAATAAAAATATTAGAAGTGAGGGTAGGACTGTCCCAAAAGTCTGAAATTAGCCTGATGGCATGCTATCTTGAGTAGTTTTGGTGTATTTGGGTTTATTGCCCCCTGGGAACAGCTTGTACCTGTGGTTCATGGGTAGTTGTATGTTGTATCACTACTACTGACAGCAAAATAGACCTCCAGCACTACCACCAACACAATGCTTTACGTAAGTTTGATAGCTTTAATTGGGCTTTTCCAAACTTATTGTTATCCTGTCCTAATATTTTAATTGGGTTAAGTTCCTGGATCGTTCGTCTACATTTTGACCAAAATCTTTTCCTTTGAGGTGACAGAAACTAATTCAGATGTGAAAAACATAGCCAAAATTTTGTGTTCCATTAAGAACGTTAATGCCAAACATGCATCGACTCAGTTTTGGAATTGATATTGAATGCTAATTTTAAGTATATTGAAGTGCCTGGAGCTAGTTTTGAGAATTATTCTTCAGTAATGTTCTACTGGCAATATACAGTTTGACAAAAATATAACAAAAATCTAACTATGTTATTGTTAGACTTGAGTGATTAAATATTTCCCCAGATAAGAGAAAAAACAAAACAAGGGAAACCGCTAGCTTCTTCTTTCAGCAGGAACTACAAACCGAAACAGACTAAAACTCCCGTGAAGCACCTCAGCGGATGGACGCCACTGCGCAGGCGCAGGGCAAACGGTCGGCGCGGACGAATTTGAGTTTCCATTGAACCGACAGAGGCAGAGTTGGGGGTGTGTGGATTGTGTTTTTAAACTTTTTAGCAATGTAGACATGGCGACGCTGCTAAACTTGTCGGATTCGGACAGTTCGAATCTGAGCGACCAGTCTGTCGGAACTCGGAACAGCAACCGGAGTCTGAGAATCGCAGAACAGGAGAGGAGGAAGAACGAGGCGGAGGAGCCCTTCGTTTTGGCCTTGAAATATTTCTCTGAAGGTAGGTCCACAAACAAAAACAGTTGGATTCATAGCCATCAACGGAACAGTACTGTAGTTGTAAACTTCAGCACAATAATGAACAGAAACATGTAACAGGCAGAATATAAGAGAGAAAGTAAAATGTCTTTATAAATAGCTTATGGTGTATTATCGTAACGCAGAGGAAGACGAACCTACATGAGGATTATAAAAATCTCTTACAGAGCAGTAGTCAACTAGGAAACCCTCACATTTTCTCTACTTTCCCTGTATCAAAAAGCTAAATGTTGTATTTATTTACGCCGTACACAATATTTGAGATAAACAAGCAATTATTTATAAATGTTAGTTACAACCAGGGTTACTGGATCTCTAGATTATCACAGTAATAGCATAAACTGTAGTTATATGTTCTGCATAGATGGGATACTTTATTATTTACTATATTACTTTACTCCATGCAATTCAGTGCACATTACATGACTGTGAAATGTTATTGCAGTGTCTCAAGCAAAGACTGTGCCTCTCTTGGTGAATAAATAGTCCAACACAAAAAATATAATTAATAAACCTTCTGCAAATGGATAAATCAAAAGAAATGAACTAATGGGACCAGCAAAATAAAACATGGTACCCATCTCAAACGATAAAACAGTAGTGTAGCAAGTGTATCGATTTCAAACAAAAAGTTTCTATTTAGATTTAATTTAATGGCATGTGGAAAATTATTCATACTTTTCTCAGTAATAGGTGAAAGAACAATGATTAGCTAGCATTACTGGAATTAAGCCCAACTTATAAAGGTCTTCATCAACTTATAAAGGTCTTCATTGGTAATTTGGCAATTTATTTTTGGTGAGGAACTCCTGAAAAGTCAAATTTAATTGGATTTTGCCCTGAACATGACACTAACAATGACATGTCCACAAAAAAGCAACCCTAAAAACATGTTGTATTGATCTGTTTACATGGTCTCTGTTTTGGCACACCTGAACATTTCCTTTGAGGACACATTTTAGTCTGGATATCCAGTTCATTTTGAGTTTAATTTCTTCTTATTTTAGTTTTAATTTTTAAGAGTTGTTTAAACCACTGTTCTGTGAACGAGAAATTGTTCTTTACAACTATCATAGTTATAGAAATGAGCAAAGAAAATATAAATACAAGCCACTTAAACGGTCATACAAGATAAAAATAAAAAGGTTGTAAACGTTTAAAAAGTTTTAACAGAAATTTATTTGTGCAGAGCTGTTTCAGGAGGTTATTATGTTTTAAATGCTCTGACTTGCATATCTAATCTGTAGATATATACTTGTATTCTTTGGAAATGTTTATTTTCTCATGGTATTCCTTCACATCCAACCTCTGAAGTTGCATTTCTATCATTCTGATGTGTCTTCCTTGCCTCCCTCGCTGTCCTTTAGTGGAAGCAGGCACTCCTGTAACTGGAAACGATGAGCTGGAGAACAATCTGGTGCAGGTGGAGAAAGTGGCGTTCAGCAGGGGTTTGTCCCCAGAGGCCATTTCTGTCATGCTCGACTTTGCTATGAGCCTACGCATGGGTAAGCCCGCCACTTAGCTGCTCTTTTGAGGCACATTACTGCAACTTTTACACTTTAGCACAGCAAACTGAAGAACATACTATGTGATTAGGAAACATTAGTATTTTACCAACTAAGTTGCCCAGGAATTCCCAAACCTTTCCATGCTATGGCCCCATCAAACGACATTAATTTCTGGCCAGGAACCCCCTTTGCAAGCCCACAGACAATGCTGCAAATTATGTAAAGAAACATTGAATTTTACAGTTTTTTTCCTCACTTTTATTTACTATTGGACAATTACTGCATTTGTTTAGCATTTGTTAACGAGTTCTGTGGTGGAAAATTTTTTTATCAGATAATATATTATGACAATTAATCTGATGTTCAGATACAAATGTTCACCACAAATCCCTCTTTTGATAAAAAAGTATGTAACGTTTTTATATTAATACCATCAAACAGTATTTAATCTCTACAGTTTAGGATTTTGCAGAAGTGACCTCAACAGCAGGGCAGCTTCAAACTGCATCTCTAGTTTGAAGAGCAAAGCAACTTGATAAAGTTGGCTTCCAGTCAGAAAAATGAGAAAGAGTAACATTTTCCTGAATTTCCCATCTGTGAGATAATATCTAATATCTGCATCTTCAATAAGTTGTTTTAACTTATATTTAAAACACAAAAACAAAACAATACATTTATGTAAAAAGATAATTAAAAATGTATTTTATTCCTTTTTTATTTTAAATTTTTAAAATGTTTTTCTCTTCACTCCAACTTTCTGAGGCGCCCCCTAGAGGCCCACACTTTGAAAAACACTGAACAATCACGTAAACAGAAAATACTCCAACAACCGGCATGTTTATGACAACTTTCTCTATTTCATTCGGAAAGTCTTAAAGTGTAAAACAAAACATTTTATTTGAATTTTTGCTGATGATATGAGAGATGATATAATGGACTAGTGAGTTGTAAAAACGCATGCCACCTTTTGTAGAAAATGCTATGTTAATCTGTGATTTACCTGTTGACGTTTGGTACTTTTCTGGATTTATTACGTCTGCAGGGACCAGTCCATGTGCACGGGTGTTGAAGTGTCTGCTTCCCGCTTCAGTGGTGCCACAGAAGGCTGTGGTCCAAGCCATAGTTTGGCTCACTGTTCGGAAATTACCCATCAGCAGTCAGGTTTGTGAAAATCCAATCAATTCCACACATTAACATCCAAATAGCGTAGATTAGAAAAACACGGCACAGATATATATATTTTTTATTTTCACTAGTAATGTTAAAATGAAGTTGATCTGGCTCTTATTCGGGCAGCTTTGTTTGTATGTTTTGGATTTCTATGTTTTTCTCTCTGAAATTTTTAGGTTTTATTTATAAAATGGGTGCTGACTGTTTTCGACATGATCGATGCGAAGGACAAGCTTCGAGCCATTTATGGCTTCATCTTCAGCTTCGTCACAGATGAAAATCTGGTATGTGACTCATCTTCTCTGCGTTGATTTAATTTGAAACTTATTTACTTCTCGGAAAATGGTGGGAAGTAATGGTAGCATTTTGGGGGTTTGTTTCCTGTAATATCTATTAAAACATTTCTGTTGATAGTTGAGAGAGAAGTAAATAATTTGAAACATGAAAATAAGAGCAGATAAACACTATTTTAACACTTTACACACCATTCTTTAATCCTTTGAGAGATGCCCATTTTATTTCCAATGAAAAAAACTACTTTGTTGTATAAATATAATTTAAAATCCAAAATGACAGCGAAATTAATAATTATCACCAATAACTCAGACATGCAGCTAAGTCTCATAATCGTGATTAATAATATACCGAAGTCATAATATGATGTAGTTAAGTCAACTCTGTTATTGTATGTCATTATTATAAGATAAATGAGTCATAATCATGAGGTACAATTCAAAGTTATGCTAAATTATGACATTCTAATAATCATGAGGTCATTATGAGATTCATATTTAATAGCTAGCTATTTTATTTTTGTTAGGTGGTATAAATTCAAAAAATTATGTCATAAATACCTTTTGCTGTATGAAAATTGTTAAATAACAGAGTTGTAATAATGAGATGACCAACTTTAAAGAAACAAGTCGCTGGTGTTGAGTCTCAGTTATCAAATCCAGCTGGACTTCTTTTCTGTCTTCTTCAAGATGTTTCTACTCTGACCTAAAAGACTGAACATGGTTGAGCCGTTTGCAGCCAGTAGCAGTGAGAACAGACACACCAATAGAGAAATTAAGGTCACAGATTGAGTATTAACAGCTCAATAGTTGGGTCGTTGTTGCTTGATGGTCCAAACTCCCTCATAATGCTGTCTGAGTTGTTTTGGTCTCTTGTCCAAAGGTGTGAAATGCTATAAAACAGTGTGGAGATACGAGTCAGAGATGCAGAGTCCTTGTTCACTGTTGGTTTTTCATTATTTAACATAGGTGGGATCGTTCACTGCTCTCAGATTAGCATGTAAATGGTAACATGGTCAATGGCCTGTACTTGCATATTCTAAATGCTTCATTCACCTATTCACACGCTGATGATGGTGAATGTGGCATATTTCTTTTTCTGGATGAATGTCCTTTCACCTTTAGGGGTAAATTAACTATCCAGATGGAAGAATTGGTGACTTGGTATTCCTGGCCTCAAATCATTGAACACTTTTGGATTAAATTAGAGTTGTGATCCAGGCCTTCATGTCCAACATCAGTGTCTGACCTAAAAAATGCAACCTGTTCATCTACCGTCTATACCTGCAAGGGTCAGAGCAAAATTGATTTAACTTTAATTATATGGAATATAAACTGATGTTTATATTTTCTCATGTTATGAACAAGACTTTACATTTTTTTCTTCTTGTTTTTTTTCAGTGCCCTTTCATTTGCCACTTGTTGTATCTTTTAACTACAAAGGAAAATGGTAAGCTAGGCTTTAATATTTATTTTTCTGTTATCACTGTTTCCTTCACATCTGTGAAAAATATTAACAGTATTTTTCTTTTCTTATTCCACTGCAGTGCGTGTCTTCAGAGTCAGGAAGCTACTGGAGCTGCAGTCTAAACTAGTAAACTTTCTGTTGATTTTTCTGTCTGTCACTATTTTACCCTTTCTTTTTTCTGGGTTTTCTGTCTTTTGGTCTTTTCTGTATTTGACTCTTTTCTGACTCTTTCATTTGGTATTTCTGTCTTTTGTTGTTTCACTCTCTTTTCTCACATCCTTCTTTCCCTCCGTCTTTGATTTCTGAAGTGGAGCGTTATGATTATTGGGTGATAGGATCATATATCTCCTGACTTGCCAGAGAGATACTATGGAAATATCTTGTTCAAGTCATAAACGAGTAAAAACATGTAAACTTTTTGTAAAAACATCTGCAGTTTTCTCATGGGACTTATTATTTTTTGCAACAACAGAACTGATTGTTGTATTTTTGGGAATCTGCAGATGTCTTTTATGCATTGTATTGCACTTCTCTCTTGTCTCCTCAGGGAAGGCAGCCTTACCTGCTGTACCTTCTGTCTCTCTATAAAGTGTTTTGCCCTGAGCTGGTGACGCTCTCCATGCCATCCCGGATGAAGGTTTGTACTCTAGTTTCAAACTTAAAGCTTCTCTAATAATGCTTTAAGTAAACTCTAAACAGTAATGAAACACAACTGGTCTTTGATTTCTCGCAGAGTGGGTTTAAGAATCACATTTCCCCCTGGAAGACGGCTCTAATCAGAGTCCAGAAGAGGAACAGCGTGCAGGTCGCCTCCAGCATCAGTCTGGCCTTCACTGTCAGAGATAAGACCGCCTCTCGGAAAAGGGTGGGTTCCCCAGCATATTATTCAGAGAGTTTAAATTATTTCTGCAGCACTTGACATATTGCTGCTGCTTTCCCAGTATTATTGCAACATTTCATCACCACCCCAGAGGCTCCAAGTGTTTCCTCCAAATGGAAAACAGCCTATATGTCTGTTTTTATCCTGTTACCAGTAACAGGATCAGAAAGTACATCTATAATGAACAAGTAAATTTTTTATTTAATTTCATTTAGTTTGTATTTGTAAATCATAAATAAATATTATTCCTTACAGCAAAATGAACACCCAAGTTTAGTTTCGCATAAAATTTCACACATATCAATTTAAAGAAATGGTTTTTGATAGTATTGAATGAAATCTTTTGTTTTGCTTTTCCAGAAACACGCCCACCTGGAGCTGCCATCTCTGAGCCCCGTCACCATGAAGGAGCCCCAGGCGGCGCAGAGCTCCAGTAGGAAGCTGGTTCCTCTGCAGCAGATCCAGTCCTTCGCTCAGCTGCTGCAAAACATGCATCGCATCGAGGTACACCGTCCCTGGACTAAGACTTTTCTTATATTGAAAATGGTACTTCACAAGACATTTTTTGCTTTAAAAACCAAATTATTAAGGAAAGAGAGAAAGAAAAGTCTTTTTTAAAAATATATTTTCTAGGTACTTCATATCCAAATTGTGAACTACTGGCCTTAAAGTTGCACATTTAGCTTAGTAGTAATCACTTATGTTACTTTAAACACATTTACTAGACCTGTCGCAATAAGTAATTAATTACTTAATTGAATGATAAATTAAAATTAGCTCAATAGTTTATAATTTTTGTATTTCTACCAAAAACTGGATGACAAAAGTCTTCAGTCTGATGAATTGGTCTCAACTTCTTTTGAAGGAGAATTTTGCTTACAGAGACTTTATGATTCATTTTATTTGTTGTTTTTGTTATTTATTTTGGATACTTAAAATATCTTCCAGCTGCAGTGTTGAATGTTCATTAGGATTTAAAGTTTATTGATCTTTACGAATGTGTTTTTAACATAATTACCATTATATTACCTGAAAACAGTCTCAAAACAGTGATATTAATGTGCATCCCAATAACTTCTTGGACAATTTGTCATCTAGAAAAATGTGTTATTGTGACAAGCCCAGAGTCTTTCATTTTAAAATTCATCTCAGCGCTGAATCTGATTCTGGTGTGTTGCCGCCTCACCGCAACATGGTGGTGCTGTTGCACCGTCTAATCTGGATGACGTGCAGCGCATTTAAATCTCAGTCCAGCACAGGTGGCCCCATGGCTGTAATTGTTTTACTAGATTAGAGGATAAACCCGCTTTATGAGCGCTGTGCTCCTCATTAACTTTACCACTATATGTTTTTGCTCCTCACAGATGTCATTAGAGGTTTATCTGCCCTGAATGAGTAATAAAAGCAAAAAATAAAAAATAAAATAAAATGAGTCTGTGTAACACATAAATTCACCTCTTTATTTGCACACAACACGGCTTATAAAAGACAACCAAAGATCTTTCTTAACTGTTGTTTTTGTTTTAATTGTGCATAAAACAGTTCTTTTATTGCATTGATTATATTGGTAAAGGATCAACACTTTATCGCTTCTTGTTAGAATTGTGTCTGTTCATAGTTTGTCTCCTTTTTATTCTCATTTATCTATTTAACTGGCCGCATCTCCGTGTTTTGAGGCAGCTGCTTGTGGGCTGTTACTGGATTCCCAGCTTGGCTTGACTTTTTGTATCAGCCGAAGTTATTATAGTGAACTACAACCAATGGAATAACAAAAACTGAAATAGAGAGAACATTTTCATTAACTGAAATAAATAAAAATGGTAATTAATGGGAAAAAACTATAACTAACTGTAACTATATTGTACGTTTATAAAACGTACTGAAATTGTAGATATGAAATCCTTAGTTTTTGTGTTTATGAATTTATTTATTAGTCTTTTGAACAGATATGAGTTTTATATACCCTCTCTCCCCAAGCAGTTTACGTCAGTTGTCGGTAAATCACGGTATTCATATGCTTCTTGGCAATACAAAATAGCGACAGCAAAAGTTGGAAGCAAACAATAATTGCATTCATTTTTAAAAAACAGTATTTGTTGTGGAGTATTCATTAGCCAATCGATGTAAGCATAATCAAAGTTCTTCTACCATTTTGAATTCGGCACCTAAAAGTCAGCCACAATCGGGAAGAACTAACTACTGTAACTAATAAAAACTAAACAATATTTGTCTAATGACAACTAATAAAATCTAGCAAACACACTATAAAATCTAAAAAAAGTCACAGTGAAATTAAACTAAACTCTAATTAAAATTATAACTGTTAAAAGCATTAACTCTCCTAATGCTGGTAAACAGGATAAAGTAAAACAACAGATTCTGTATTTTAATGTGAAGTTTGACTTTCTGAGCATGTTTTTTTTTTTTTTTCATTAAAATGTGCCTCTGGATGCCTGTCTGTGTTGATGGGTGTGCTGTAATGTTTTTATTGGGTTGTTCCTCCGCCAGCTGCCGGCTCAGATGGGCTCTCTGCTGGGTTCCAGGCTGGCTCTGCAGTACCTGGACTGCGTGCAGGATGAGTCGGCCCTCCTGCGACTCAACTTCTGGCTCGGCTATGCTCTCCATGAAGGTAAATGAGATATGATTGGACGTGAAGCTGCAAAACTGCTGTGACATCATCATCATCGACAAGCAGAATTAAAGCTGACCTTGAGCTGAACTCCAGCAGATTACTGAGTTTTCTAACCAAAGGGAATTATTTTAGGAGAAGCGATAAAAAAATCTAGAATAATTTGTTTTATTTGTCTGTTTGACTTACTAAATTTTCTTCTTTCTTGGTCAGAGTTTTTGTTCTGCAGCGATGGAGGAGCCAATAAGAACCCGGAGGAAGCGCTACAGGTTTTAAACCGGCTGCTGTCGGCACAGCACTTCCTGCAGGTGAGCATTTCATTGCATGTGTTCATTTATTTTATATTTATGCAATATTTCTGAGATTTAAATGAATAATTTTATTATGTTGTTTACTTATTAGTATAGGAATAAAATTTTGCCCAATATGTACTTTTTAAATGTACAGTTGAATGACATTGAAGTCTCTTTGTCTAAAGTCAGAATTCTGACGTTTTTTCCAACTTAGAATCAGAATTGTTAAACTGTTAATGCACCATAAAACAAATCTAACAACCAAATCATAAACTCTAATCTAACAAATAAATTGAATGTATGGAAGACAATTAGGACCACCCAAAAAAAAAAAGGATTCAGATTTTTTTCTTAGAATTATTTTTTTTCTCAGAAGTTTTACCTTTTTCCTCTCAAAATTCAGACTTTTTCTCAGAATTTTGACTCTTTTTCTCAGAATTCCAACTTGTTTCTCAGAACTCTGAGATTTTTGTTTTTCAGAATTCTGACTTTTGTTTCCCTCCGAATTCTGAGGTTTTCTTCTCAGAATCAGAATTGTTTAAATACTCATTCTGCACCATCAAACAAATATAATCTTAAAAATTCTACCAAATGAATTCGGGACATTATCTAAGGATATTTGGTTATTTAATTGGATCTTGACACAGATTTAAAATTATGAGAAAAAAGTCAGAATTCAATCTAAATAAATTGCTGCCCCATGTTTTAATTAAACACTGCTTTTGTCCAATAGGAGGGGTTTAACAGCTCTGACGCCTTCCTGTACAAATTCCTGAACGTTTGGGACGGATCTCTACTGCGTCCTCAGATCCTCGGCCTCCTGAGCAACATTCCCGTCATTCCGAGCTCCCGTGAGTGTCAGAAAAACAAAAACAAAATGCTGCTTTTTATCTTACTTGCTACGTAGAATGGTAACTGATAGACACAGCTTTATTAGAAAATGTGAGCAGTTTGTTGATCAGGAATAATTGTGATATTTTCTTTCCTGTTCAGAAATCAAGACGTTGCTGTTCGATCCTCTCATGCAGCTTTTCTTCACGTCCTCGCTGTTTTTTAAGGTCAGTTTGCTGTTTGAGGCAAAAGTTGTTAAAACTGGGACAAATCTGGGTGTTCTCAACGTTAAAGTGTTTTTAAACACTTATTTTTAAATCCTGTTTTTTAAAATATGCATCCGTCTCTGATCTCCATGTCCATTCTTCCATCCATCTGTGAATCAGTTTGTTTATTTATTCATCCGTCCAGTAAATTGTATATTCATCCATCTGTTTTTCCATCCATTCATTTTCTCTCCGACATGTTTCCATCTGTTTTTTTTCTCCATTCATCCATTTGTTCTTTCTTTCATCAGTCCATCTATCCATTCATTGTTTCATCCATCCATTTTTTTTATCCTGACTTCCCTCCATCCGTTCATCTATCCAAACAAAAGAGGCTAAACAGAAATGTAAGAGATGAAAAGTTTGACCTTAAAATGGTCAGAAATCCTGAATCGTACTCACATTGTAGCTCTATGTTGACTGGATCTTTATGGTTGCAGCTAATGCGTGTTAGCCTTGCATACATTATAACCACTGCTCTCACTGAGTGTTTGATCTGTTCCTTTTCTCTCTGTGTTTCTGCAGTGTGGACTGATTGAATGTTTAAACCACATGCTGTTAAAATGGCTGACCTGGCACTCTGCGTACGCTCTGGAAGATGACCTGGACATCAGCCTCAACAGCCACACGTCCATGTGAGTTTCTCGTCCACTCCATTAAACCCGAGCCTGGAGAACAACTAGAGCATGGTTTTTATAAAAATCCACTCAATGCAAAAAAAATTAGAAACTTCAGCTCTTTTTCTTTTTTGAAGATGAGGCATATCTGTGCATTTTACTTTTTGGACAATCAATCAATACCACAATATAGATCGCAATAGACACATGATAATATATATGATACATGATAACACATGATAATATAGATTATTGAGTATTCACTGTGCTCTGATCCAGAACCACAGCTAAACAAGGTCGGTGAAATCAACTCACTCATTCTTTGGTTACCTCGCAACAACCTGTTAAGTACCTGGCGCAGCAGCATTTTAAGGTTTGCCTCATAACTGCTTGAAAATAAAAAAACAAATGATGTGGAGTGAAAACTGGATAAAGCAGGAAAGGTCACACCATCAGTTTTTCAGTACTTCAGATTTTGAAAACAAAAACGAATCAATTCTTATCGATATCGACTGATATGAAGCATTTACATTGTGATAAGTTTTTTATCCATATTGTCCAGCTGTTTTATAAATACTAGAAAAAAGTCAAATATGCAAATAAACAAAGCACTTGGTCCCAGTTTTTAGGAAGGAAATAAGCATTTTGTTGCCTGAAATGCAGTAACATAGCATTCATTTAGTGAACACTTCAGCAAAGGATGAATCTGTAGGTAAAAAAAGAAAAAAATTGACTGAATGAAAGGCTTATATTGTGATGGGGTTTTCAGTAATATATTCCAGCCCAAATAAAAATTATAATTCAGAATTGAGCCTTGAATATATCCCTGGCATGTCATGTAAAATTTGCTGACTCATTGGGTAAATCTGTCATTATTAACACCCCTCTGGATTGAGTTTCTGATATTTTCTGGTCTTGTGATCTTTCTCCGTCTTATCTAACATCGGTAAACGTGTGTTGAAAGTTTCCCTTGGTGTCAGTTGAGCAGACAGTTTCTGTTTGTGACCCTCTGCTCTGCTCTCTGTCTCAGAAACATAACCCTGTCAGGGTTCAAGGACTCTGTGATGGAGCTGGTTCACTTCGTGGGTCGGCTGGCCTCCCTGGGCCTCCAGCTGGAGGGCTGCCACTCTCTCTTGCTCAGCTTCATTCTGGATTTCTATGAGACAGTAAGTGAGAGCTGCTAACTGGGTGCTGCAAGTGTCTTTGCCAGTTTGGATCCAACTTGATTCAAAGCAGATTTTCTGGGCCAGTTTTACTCCTAGAAACTTTCTTTGAAATCCTCTTCACTCCTAAACATTAAGCATTTTTATTTTACTACAATTATCCTCAGGGAGTCACAAGCTTCAATCAAACATGTGAACATAATCTGTATGCATATAATACATTGTTATTAACTTCTGTTGTTATAAGTAGTTTGCCAGCACAAAAACAATCAAATCCCACTAGTTTCCTGACTTCCAACTGGAATCAAGATCAAACCGGATACAGCATAATTCCCAGATCTGAGATCTGACTTTGAGCTAAATGGAATGCAGCATTATTGGCCCAACATGAAAGTGTACATCAGTTTATAGGATGTCAATGCAGAACTCTGCAGACTCATAAAAGCTTTGATTAAGATTAAGAGCTGAAGAGTAATTTTTTTTCTCCCTCCTTCCTCAGGTTTGTGACACTTTCCTGAAGTTTGGTCTTCCCCTCGTGGTCATGCCTCCTCTAGGAGTTTTTTATCCGGCCTTTTTCGCTGCCGACCCAGTCAGCGTGGACAGACTGGCCTTCATCATGCACAGGTGGGAGACCATTCATCTGGTAGCATAAGCTCTGGTCTTTTACCCATTTAGTGGAGTTAAAATTGAAAACCTCCAGTGTATTTTATTATAAAGTGGAAGGCAAATGATTCATTATTTTTCTTAATTTAGAAATCTAAAATGAAACCCTCCTGTATACCTTAGTAGAACATGCTTTGACTCTTCTAGCTTTAAATAAACACAAACTTTCAATCTGGCCCATTTTTGTTTTTACAAATTAGTTCAAGCTCATTCAGACTGAACGTGGAACATGATATTCAAGTCTTGCTACATGTTTTTAATTGGATTTAGGTCTGGACTTTAAGAGTGTTTTCATACCCAACAGTCCAAAAGACCATCAGGTGGGATGGTTTTCAGTTGGTGCGGTTTGCTTTCACACTGTGATATCAAGTGAAGCAAGCCTTTTGAAGAAATAGGATGCAATGTCTTTCTTCACAAAATGTAAACAAAAATGGAGTAGCGTCAGATTTTTGCCTTTGTAGAATTTCTCTTTTGTCTTTGGTAAAAGACTGTGTCATTTCTCGCTCTTGTGCCAGACTCTTGAATTTGTTTTGGTTGCATTTACACTGCGCTATAACTGTCTTCCTGCTTTTGGAATGGTCTCTGGTCCGCTTGACGTTCACATATGCATTCAAGCTGCACCAGAGTTCACTTCGACAGAATCGTGACCAAGGTTTTAAGGCGGACCAGAGTTTGCTTTTTTGATCTGCACCAGAGTTTGATTGGATAGTCACACCTCCCTAAATGAATTGAACTTTCTAGACAAAGAAATCTGAGTTTGATGAAAGTGGACTAAGCAGAGCTAATGTGAACGCACCCTGACTGAGTCGTTCTAATAGGTCACAATGAGTTTTATTTAAGAGTAACAGAGTGAAAGAAATGCATGCCTCACAAGAACCTCAAAAACCAAGCTTAATTTTCCTTCTGTCCTACAATAATGCACCACTTTGTCACCTAAAATATCAATAAAATACATTGACGATATGAATTTCTACCTTAAGATAGCACTGTAAATGAAAATGGCTGAGGTGTGAAAAAGAACATGGTCTCATCACATATTGGCATGTAGAGGCCTGACAAAATCTGATGTGTGAAATTAAAGTCTTATTTCTAGCTTTAGAAATAGCTTTAAGTGATACTGTTACATAGAAAATGGGATTATATTTCTGTAATTAGTTGCATCATGTCTGTTTTGTTTAGGTACAAAGTGAACCTGATGTCTGCCAAGAGGCAGGAGAAAGTGACTGAGGTAAGGACGAACCTGTGGATCATTTTGCGTCAGTAATCCAGCTGTTTGTTTTAGAAACCGAGGTAGATGTTTGATATTCAGCCAGTCCGTCTGCGTAAACCTGATAACCATAATCTCCTCTCACATGAGAGTTTAGAAATGTTTATTTCAACACAGCTCCGACTTTTTCAGCAGGTTTTTCTCACTGCCGGCCGACCGGCTCGCCTGCAAATGCCACCAGATTGTTTTTATTAAGACCAGAGGTAGCAGAAAACGTTGTACTCAAGTAAGAGTAGCACTGCTTCAGGTGAAAGTAGAAAGTAGCCATCAAAGAAATTACTTAAATAATCCATATAAGTAACACAAATTATAAAATCAGGCAAAATAAAATTATTTCAACATAAAAGTGAAGCTTTAACAAAATCTGCAGGTGTTTGTGTCTGGTGAATGTTTGTTTGTCATTCATTGGGCAGAAAATCCAGAAATTTTACTTCAGTAAGAGCAGAAATAGTGTAACATATTTTTACTCAAGCAAAGGTAAGAAGTAGCCGTCCACGAAATTACTTAAGTAAGAGTAAGAAAGTATTTGGTAACTCAAGTACTGACTAACTTATCAAATGATCAGTAATTTAATATTCAAAAATTACATCACCAGAGGGACCAAAATATAAAATTAAATGGAATTATTTTGTATTTTTGGTCTAATTCATGGAAGTAACAAAAATTGACAAAATAAGGCAAAAGAAAATAAAAATATCTTATCAAACTAACAAAAACTGCAGATCTGTGTCTTGGAAATTTCTGATTAAAACATGTTTGTTCTTCATTCAGTGGATAGAAAATCTAGAAATTTTACTCAAGCAAGATCAGAAATACTTCATAATAAAGTAATTCAAGAGAAAGTAAAAAGTACAGTTACCAAAAATATTCCAAAAGTAAATTTTCCTCAAAAGGTTAGTTAAGAAAATGTAACTAATTACTACCGAACTCTGACTAAGATGACTTGCCTCGGTGTCGTTTCTGCAGCAGGCTTTTCACATCAGCCGCCAGATTTTCCGGGAGTTTAACCGCTACCAGGTGTTCATGGTGAATTGCCTGTGGAACTCCAACCTGTGCTATCCAGGATCAGACGTGCATCTGTCGGACGAGCTGCTCGCCAAGAGCGGCGTGCCGCAGTTCTCGACGCGCTTCGACCTCATCCACCACCCGGCCTTCGTGAGCTACGCTCTGGACTTCCACCACAAGGTCAGTGGGATTCTGGGAACAAATGGAGTTTAGTTAGGAGGAAGAAGAACAAGATGGGAGAATGAAAAATATTCATGTTCTCAGAGTTTATCCCCTCGACTGCTCTCTAAATCGTTTTTCTTCTTTCCTTATATATTTAATTTTTTGTTCCCTTTTTTCTTTCTTTCTTCCCCTCTTGTGTCATTACTTCCTTATTTGTGTCCTTCCTTTCTTCCTCACTTATTTGGTTCCTTTTTGTGTTCTTCATTGTTTTCTATGTCCCATTTTGTTTTATCCTTTCTTGTTTCTTTTCTCTCCTCTTATCATTCCTTTCTTTCTTCAATCTCTTTCCTTTGTTATTCATTTCCTTTTTTGTCTCCATCCTTCTTCAGTTCTTGTTCTTTCTTTTCTTTTTTGTTTTCTATGCTCCCTTGTCTTTTCTTGTTTCCTTCCATACTTCTTATTCTTCCTTCCTGTGTTCTTGATTTTCTTATTTTCCTTCCTCTCGCTCCTTATTTATATATCTTCCATTTTTCCCCTCTTGTGCTTTTCATTCATTCTTCCATCTTTTTTCTCACTTAGCTCCTTCCTTCTGGTGTTTTTCCTTTTCTTCTTTGTTTCCTATGTCCCCTTCATATTGCCACTTCATTCCTTCCTTCCTTTTTCTTGTCCTTTCTTGCTTCATTGTGTCCTTTTGTCACTCATTTCCCTTTTTCTTTCCTTCATCTCTACTCTTTTAATTTGAATGTTTTACTACCCTCTTTTCTTCCTTTTCTCCTCTTCATTACTTTCTTTCTTCCTTCCTTCCTCACTTGTTTCTTTCCAGTCCTTCTTCCTCTGTCCTCTTCTTATGTCTGTCTTTCTCTATTATTTTTTTGTAGGTTTTATAAATGTTTGTCATAAATTCAGTATTTTATGTTTTATAAAAAGTGAAACTAGAAGTTTCCCAGGCAGAAACCCTGTCTGTTGTTTTTATGGATCAGTTTGGATTCTTGCTGTGCATTTTGCCAAACAGACCTACAACCAAGACAAATGAGTTTTAATGTATCCTTCAGAGATGACGCATTAATCAAGAGGGATATTTTATAATTAACGGCTGCCCTTTAAGATGTTTAATAATAAACATTCACCTTTTTTGGGGGGTTTGGGCCACCTGCGATCTTGTGAGATTTCCCACTGATTTCTGTCACTGAATATTAATGTCGTCTCTTTATCAGTGTTGGCCCGACAGAAAAGACACGGACCTCAATTCCATCAAGGTAAAACGAATCTCCTTTTCCGTTCTGTGTTCATTTAAGACGTCACGTCTCGTCTTGACTCACCTCAGTCATCCATCTTTGATCAAACAGTCCTTCAGATGTTTTCTGATGCGATCCCTGTGTGTTTTTCAGCAATCCAAGCCGTGGAGCTGGTACCTGGAGTATCTGTTCACCCAGGGCTTCGACGGCCTTAAAGACTTTTTGCAGAATAACATCAGCCGGAGGGTGACGATGGCGGGCGACGGGCGCGACGACGTGACGCAGAGCCAGGAGCTCGGATCTGCGCCGCAGATGAAACAACCACTATTATCTTAAGGATTTGTTTTAAAAGACATGTACATACTTAACCCTTTCTGCTTCCTGCAAGTCCTTCTCGTGTACATATTTTTTATGATGCTTATGCACTTTTAGTTGTTTACAAGGCATGCTAATAAAGTGTTTATTTTATATTGTGGTTCAATAAGTAGGTTTAACCCCTGAAATCTAGAGTATGGCATAAAGTTCTAGATAAATGAGTGATTTAGCTCCAGGATTAGATTTTTACAAGACAACACTGATAAATTGATGAGAAGAAGCTATTAATCGATAGGCCTGTCATGATAAACACAAGCTTTATCGTTATACACAAAAGGTGTTGTTTTACCACCATTTTAAAGTAATGTAACAATAATGGCATAATAATGTGAAACTTTCTTAAAGGTCAATAAACTTGAAATTCTAATGAACATTCAACACTGGGAATGGAAACTGTTTATATATCCCAAATAAACAAAGTAGAATATAAAAGTTTCTGTGAAGAAATTTGATGTTTAAAAAAAGAGCTAGTTGAGATCAAAGATCCAGACTGAAGATTTTTGTCACCCAGTTTGTGGTTAAAACAATAAATTATGCAAATGTAAATTATTGAGCCTGTTTTATGTTAATTTATCACCCAATTGATTTATTGCTTATTGTGACAGGCCTATCAATCGACAGGTTCCAGCGCTTAGAAAGTTTTCCGGCTAATGTTCTTTTAGCCTCTGATGCGTACGTGGGCCCTTTTTGACCCGGTCAGGTCATCTTTTTGCAATGTCTTTGTAATAAAAAGTTTTCGTCACTTCATATTCCAGGTATTCCTCAAACAATATGTTACTGATATCATGCAATTAAAAATTTTTATTTACCTTTTATACACTTTTAAGAAACAGCATGTTTTATATTACCCCATTCTTCTGTGAGGGGGTCAAAAATGACCCACATTCATTTCTTATGGAATTTAACGGGAATCTTAGTTTCTTACCAACTGTGACTGTCAGGAAAACATTTTTGTGAGCCATACACACTGAGTCCTAAGTGCTACCCCTGAATGATAATATTCTACACAATAAGAACTCTTACACATAAGTATTATCTTTGGTTTTTACCTCACTAATGTGTGTGTCTATCAGGAGTACTGTGACAGCATTATAGTCACGAATTAGCCTTCAATCAACAAATTAGCCTTCCTCAAAGTGAGCCAACACTAGTTATCTAACCAACTAGCTAATATTAGCATCTACTAGAGTCAATAAGTTGCATCAGAGGGTTAAATCGTCAATGTTGCCTGAACTGGAGTGTAGACGAAGATAAACACACATTAGCAAGTTAGCTTTGTTCTAAGCTACTTGCTTGCTCTCGACTTTTGAGAAATGATTGCTTCTTGTTTTAAATTTTACTAGCTGAACAAGATGGCTGTTGTGAATCCTGAAAAGCTTCCTCATGCTAAAACCACAAGCATGAGGTTTTGGACTGCAGGGCAGAAAATCGACGTCATCGTTCACAACTTGTTCTGCTCGCTGATTGGTCCGGGAGAAATTCTAAAGAAGGAATCAGTTTGAATAGGAGGAATCTTGGAGTTAATCAGGTGTACTTTCTAAGAGGAAAAGCACACAAAGCTAAAGGCTGCAATAGTTTATTGATGACTCAATCTATTGAGAAAAAGAATAAAGTCAATTAAAAGTAAGGCAGAAGGAAATACCAAAAGGCATTCTGTCATGAGTTTGTCTCCAGGAGATAAATCCAGCTGACGCCTCCTCTGCTGTGCTGCTGCCGATGTGACTGAGCCGAGGCTCCTTACACAGAGAGCATCGCTCTGATGCGCCAGTGTCGGAGCCGCCGGTGCAGCGCCGCGCTCCTCCTGCTGCTGCTCGCCTCACTTTCCTCATGCCTCCACCGGGACGACGTTGTTTCACCGGGGTCTCCGCCAACGCGTCCAGCTGAGCGGTGCTCGGTGTAGCAAGAGAGCCAGAGAGAGGTAAGATTAATTCTGCTTTATGGATTTCCGCTGGAGATGTTCTTGGTGGAAGCCGAGCAGCAGAGGAGCGTGGTGCTGTCGTGTGTGTGTGTGTTTTTTGTTTTGTTTTATTGAGAGACTGGTCCCAGTTTGAAGCTGTGGGTTTCTAAGAATCAGCCGAGCAACGTGTGATGGATGATGTTTGGTTTTCATGAGGGGCTTCAGCTCCCATCTCTCTCTCTCTGTGGTTCTGCAACACATACATGGAGTTTCCCACTTCTCTTTGGATCAGAACTTGTTTCGTGGGGTTTTTTCTGCATCTCCTGCAGGATAAAAGCCACATTTCAGTGGCTCCCTTTCAAGCCTCAATACTTTATTTGGGTGGAGACTGGCATGCAATGACAGACTGAGGTGTGTTGAGTCGGATTTGAACTCTGCATGTCGACAGTAATTATGGTTACAATTACACGCCGTGCGTCTTAAGCCCCCCGAGAATCCTTTGAGGTCTCCACGTTGCAGCGCAGTGGGATAATTTGGGGAAAATATCTGCAGGGAGGGAAGTAAATCCTGCGTGCTTCAGTGGGTGTAAAATTAGGAACAGCCTATATGCTAATCCGGAATTAAAACACAAGATCTGAACAGGCTTGTGCTGCGTTTGCTCTTCTCCTAATAGTGCCATTAATCTTAATGTTGTAAATTCAGAACTTTATACAGATCCATGATTTGAAACGATGCCTGTAATGTATGCTGTTACATTAATGTTCAGTATGTAAGACGGGGTGTTGGGGACATTGTAGATAGAAATTTCAGGATATGGAGAAAATTTCTGCCAAAAAAGTCAGATTTTGATATTTTCAAGTTTTTCTAAAATATTTCTGAGTTGAACGTCAAAATTTCTGAGATTTTCTAGTACATTTTTGACTTTTCAAACCAAGTAATGTTCTTGATTTTTTTTCTAGACAATTTATGAGATTTGTCTAAAAAATATTTTTTCTAATGTTTTAAAAAAATTTAGCTTAGAATTTTTCTAATAATTTTCTGAGATTAATCTAAAAATTTCAGAGATTTTTTTTAAAACCAGCTTTTATAATTCAAAAATATTTTTTTTTTTCTAGAAAATGTTCAGCTTTTCTGAAATGTTCCTAAAAATTTCAGATTTTTTGGGGCAGAAATGTACTCCTTTTTTACCAGCTATAATGACCCTTTATGGTGTTGTAAATATGAAAACATTGATTTTAGACACACATTCATCTTAATTCTTATTAACCAGATTGCTTTAACCTTTCATTATGATGTATGGATCATGCAGATAAGACTCTTAGACACACATAATTTTAAGATGGCTCAAATGCTAACTCAGCATGATAATATCTTATTTTTGAATGATAAAGTATTAGGAAGGGTCTATTGGTGGCTTAAGTGCAGCCTTAAGCTTGTAGGATTTTGAACTAGAAATGCTTTTCAGGAAACTTAAAAACAATAAAATAGCTTTTTATCTCAAGCCAGAAAGTGTTGCTCAGGCACTTTGTGATCAGCTGCAGCGTATTTTCTTTCTAGAAAGGTAGTCAAGGCTCAACTGACACGTAATTTGTTTATTTATTTGTTTTTATAAGCTCTGGACAGAAGGTTGCTCTTTGTGGGAAGCAATATCACTTTTATCAGCACATCATAAACCTGAGTATGAATATTTCAGGGTATTTAGACAGAAATGTATAAGATGATCCCACTGCTTTTATTTGACTAAAAAAAGCTAACATTATTACAACTATTCCCTCTTTCCTTTCATTGTTAATTAGATTTTCCTGGATAGACTTAAGCAAACAAACATTCAGTTTCATTTTCAAGTAAACACGCTTCTTGTGCAGAAAATTATTCCTTCTTCCTCCTTTTTGAGTGACACAAGTTTGATCACTTTAATTACCTATTCAGTTTGAATTGTTGACACACACACGCCGTTATAGTGTCACAACTGCAGCATTATCTTAATGAAATTTATTTTTACTCCTGACTGTTCTGCTTGTTTTGGCACCAAAGATGTTTTGGCACCTTTTTCACCATCTTTCTGGTACAAAAAAATAACAGACACTCTAAGTGGAGTAACCCTCTTTCAGCCATCTGAGCAGCAGTGCACAGCAACATAAAGGGAAGGAACAGAAATGTGTCACTTCATTTCGTCTGTAGTGTTTAGTAGAAGAGATTTTAAGAATTGTATCGTGGGATTTTTTTTGCAGGTTTTAAAACCAAAAGTTTTACTTTCTCCTCTGGACACATTGAACAGTTTGAAACACATGAAGCAAAACTTTTTAGCTGAAAAAATGAATAAAAAAACAAAACACAAAAACCCATCACTGATCTACGGACAGGATGACAGGATGACAAATTTAGCTGGTTAACAAATTGTTCCAAAAGTTATTGCGATGAACGATTTTATTATCGTTTTTGACACCATTTTCAAGTAATACAATGATAATTGTATAATAATAATGCAAGAAAACTTTCTGAAAACTTTAAATTTTGATGAGCATTAAACAGACATTTTAAATATCCAACATAAATAAACAAAGCAACAAATAAAATTTATCATTAAGTCTCTAAATAAAATTATCCTTCTAAAAAACGAGCTGGCTGAAAACCAAACGATTAGTCTGAACATTTTTGTCATTAAAGAGGGAGAAGAGAAACACAATAAATCATGCAAATGGAAATTATTGACTTTCTTATAATTTATTATTCATTTAATTAATTTATTGTGAGAATAAATGTACAATAAAACCACGAATGCACCAAAGAAATTGATGATTTTCTTCTGGGCAGACGCTAAAAAATGGAATAAAATATTCATCATTCCTGCCATATATAAACCAGCAATGTACTTACATATAAGTTAGATAAATACAAGAAACATGAAGTTTGATGCATAAATGGGGATAATCTTGTGATTCCTTAACTTTATTTAGGGTTAAAAGAATTGAGAATTAGCAGGTCAGACCCAAAAGAAAACCTGAAACCTGTTCACGTTTTCGTTTATTTAAACTGGAGTATTTTGGATCGAGCCTCCATTGTTTCTCCGAGGGCTTCCTGAGGGACAGGAGATGACAGGATCGCCCGTCTCTTGATCTGGAGAGCTGCAACAAAAGCCAGCGCTGGGCAAAGAAGGAAAACCAGCATGATGGGTTTAATAATAGTTAATCATGAG